GAGCCCGACTTCTTTTATACCCCGTTGTTTTTATTCGTTGATAAAAACAAATTCTAGTAGCATATTTTAAAATCGAACCTTACGGATTGTGGACAATTTATATTGTTTACTTTGAAATGACATATTAATTTCAGAAGAAAAAAACACATGGACGAAATGCTTTCAACTGCATGTATGTTTATAGCTCAATCAGATGGCCTACTAGAATTGTCAAGCCTAATTCTTCTTGCTTTTATTGCTATAATACTCGATATACTCATATTTTCAATATATATAAAAAAAATGTATATTAGGAATGATATACCGTATATCGTTTAAAAATGAAAGAGACAAACTTAACATGTTTCCAGTATATACTATTATACAAAGTTTTGAATATTAAAATACTATACATGCATGTACATGTATAATTATGTACTCTATATAGTGTACTTAAATACAGCATATACAAGATAAAAACAAAAAAATTGGAATTGTCTGCAGGAAGTCCTTAGAATGCATGATAATCTACAAGTTAATTTACAGATTACCCGGAACGCATTGCGAGTACATCAGTTCTTGAATTACACTTGTCTCGTCGCAAACTCCGCGCACCGGTTACGCTACGGCCAGTAACTAATCCTGTAAGGGGAGATGAGATTGGTCTCGTCGGTGTGGTTATTGTTATTTATGGGTTTTTTGTCCAGGAGTATTTGCTGAATCTGCTGAAGAACTGCAAAAAGCACTAGCTTGATGCAATGTCAAATTATTGCCAATTATGGCATTTACAAGTTAATCCTAATAAGACTAAAATTGTTGTTTTTTGTAAAAGTAAAAGAGGTTTATGCAAGGGCGTAGCGCCCATTACGCACAATACGCAATTGCGTATAAAAATAATCCGAAGGTAAAAAAATAAAGTTGAGAAAATCTAAGTTTTAATGATTTTATCGCTATAGATTTAGATCTTCATTTCTGTTTACTGTCTCCCTCTGCTTCTTCTCCCCTCGAGAACCGCTAGAAGCTCCCTGGGAGCACGATTCCTGGATATCGGAAGTGTTGATATCAGAAGCCGACTAAGAATGCTAGATTCTAAAAAAAATGTTGTTCTCACCGAACGGTTCGAGCCACATGCAGGTTGGGTTGCACCTCTCAGAGAACTCGAAAAAAGGCAACAAGTAGGCGATTGCCGAACTTTGTGTTTGAGCAAGAGAATCACCAATCTACTTATAGTACATCCCTTTATTTGATGGGGGTATTTTGTGCTCCATGTTTTGCCTTTAATGCGGCTGAAAATGTGCTTGTTGCTCGTCCGTTAATTAATTGGAGCAACGCAAGAAAAGTCGTTGATGGGCACACACACACTCAAAAGAACACATGAATTCCATCACAAGAGCCGACCACTTTGTACGCATCTGGAAGGAAGAGCAGAATGTGGTCGAGTTCGGATCAACGCCCTAAGGGCAGAAAGTACAAAAGAACAGGGGGGCGTTAGCAGCCATCATTGAGGCCATAATTCTTTGTGGGCAACAAAATAATATTATATCTATGAGTAATTAAGACTGTTACTATTTCATCACCCTCTGCGGAGACTGATGGAGTGGTTAAAACAGCTTCATTGATCATTATACCATTTACTATCTCGTTGTATCTGGTTATTTCCCTACTTTCTTACGATGGAATAGAAGTGTTCTCAGAGTATAATTTTTCTTGTGCATTTGGAAATAATACCTACACTTGGATAAAGAAGACTGAAGGCTTAAGAGAAAAGCCGTTCTTACCAAACTGATTTGATGAGAAATGCTAAAGAAACTTGTTATCTGGTTAAATGGTTTTTCTTCACAAATCTGTTCGAAGTTATAATGAAATAAGTTAAAAAGTAAAACGAGCAGCTATGTTTATCAATTTATGGGGAAAAAATGACTTGAAAATGCTTCATACTTTACCTGCAAAAGGTGCTTCAAGACATGCCAGAGCCCGCCAATTAACATCTAATTTTTCAAAATTTTCCGGGGGAGACCCCCCGTACCCCCACCAAATTTGAAACAAAGTACTCCAAATTGTATGCTTTATGGAGATTTAGGGATATTACCTTTATCTATTCATATAAAAAGTAGAGTTATTAAGATTTTAAGTAGCAAACAAGAATCAATAAGCCATATATTGTATGATATGTCACACTCTTTGTATTGTAGAAATGTGTTGAACCTCCCATGGATGAATAGTGTTTGTAAATTACTAGATTCACTGGGTTTATCAAATTTTTGGATTAATAATGTTGCCACTTCTCTTCCATTGTTTCAGAAAATTGTTAAAAATAGACTGAAAGATCAGTTCATTCAAAATTGGCATAGTGAAATGTCAGAATCCAGTAAATGTCTGAATTATAGAATGTACAAAAGTGAATTCAGATTTGAAAAGTTTTTAGATATTTTACCATCTCATTTAGCTTAGGTACTATTGCGTTTTAGATGTATGAACCATAAATTGCCTATTGAGTCTGGTAGATTTTGTAATATACCAAGAGAGTTAAGAGTGTGTAACCTATGCAATAGTAGCTCACTTGGTGATGAATATCATTACTTATTTAATTGTCAATTCTTTAATACTGATAGAAAAAAATTACTAGAGAGTATAATACTAATGTTAATTCAATCAAGTTTTCTATGTTAATGAATAGCACAGATAGGAGTTTATCACACACCCGTGCCGATTTTGCGACTCCGTAAATATGGTATTGCACGGCCGTGCATATATTTTGACGTGACGTCATTAGCGTTATACAAACATAGTGTAAAGACGCGCTAAATGTTAGCGTTATACTAGAGGCGCGCCAATAAAAAATGACTCTCATTTCACTTTAAACGGTCTTTATTTTGGGTATGTGATAAATAGAATATTAAATTCGTGTAAGTTCATTACTGAATTTATTGCACTCGTTGAATAATAAGAGGATATTTTTTCGTTTGAATGAAATATGGAATATATTTTCACAAAACATGATCAAATGCCACATATTTTCACGAGCCGGGACGGCGAGTGAAAATATGTGGCATTTTATCATGTTGAGTGAAAATATAAACCATATTTCACGAAAAACGAAAAAATAACCATTTTATTTAATTTCATTATCAAAGAAAAATGGTTGCGAACCCCCTTGCTTGCTACGCAGCTGCTATTGTACAGCGCGCAGTAATATTATTATTACTTGTTTTGCACGCGATATTTGGCGCTACATTGTGACGTCACGTAAACAACTGTTTAAACGTCTGTACAGCGTTAATAACTGAATTAAAGATATTGGTGTTCGGATTTATTCTTTTAGTTAGACCATTTTCTATTATTCTAGATAGTTTTTAAAGCAAAATTCAACAAAAAGTTGTTAAAAAAATTGTATTTATCATTTTTTTTAAAACAAAATGGCGAAAGAAGTCCCTGAAAATAAATATGAGTTTTGACTCCGCCCACTTTCATATTCATATTTATTTTTAAAAAATATGACATATATTTAACAGATGTAGCACCATATTTCATTGGTAAAATTAGATAAAATAATATTATGCTCGCCAGAGGCTCGCATAATATAATTTTATTCAACTCGTGCAATAAATTCAGTATTGAACTCGCACTCATTCAATGTCCTCTATTTATTGTTAAAACTTGCAGTATTATGTAAAAAAATTATATCAGCATTTAAGTAACTGATAACTAAGCTTATTTTCATAATGTAACACTTTCATTTTTGATTTATATTTGCCATGTAGTACATTAGTATATTTTGTGGATATCTCTTATTTCATATTATATGTATATTATTGTATATGTGACTGTTGCCTATAAGAGGCCCAGCATTTTCAATAAACTGTTCAAACTGTTCAAGTATTGACTGAAACAAACGAAGGCAGATTTTTTTTCAGTTCGACTTCCTGTCATATTTACAGGGAAAAACTGAATATAAGAACAGTTTTCATTGGTCATTTGAAAATTACAAAATGAAATCTGTGAATCTTATTGGCCGTTCTAAAATAAAATATAAAGGATAGTTCTTGTCATTCTAAGACAGTTCTAAACTTAAATGAAAAGGATAGTTCTTATCATTAATGAAATAAAATGTAAAGGATAGATACAAAATAAAGTGTACAAAATAGTTCTTAACTTTCTAGTTAAATTGCTCAGATTTGTTTACCAATACTTCTTGAATTCAGATCTTATTACATTTTCTAGTGAACAGTTGAGTATCTTACGTACAAACTTACTGAGTTTATTTTGCACAGGATCTCAAAATAACGAGTGATATATCAGAACTTTTCAGGTACCCTTAGTTTATGTTGTTAAATAAGTGTTAAATATATTTATATGATTATTGATGTGTTCAATTGATGTCATGATTATAATTTTTAATATATATTTTGTATATTAATCAAACATTTTATCAAAATAATTGCCTTACCAACTGTGTAGATGTTGGTGTTAGAAACTGAACTCACTTACCGAAACATGACAGGTTGGTTTAGAAAACACATACATCTTAAAGTGTTCTATTTTTCAAGATTAATAACTTGTAAGAAATTATAATGTCATTATTATTCAAGCTATGCTAACATTTCTATATGACTGCATTGAAAAACTAAGAACTAACAAGTAACATATGCAAGTTAACCAGTTTCACTTCGGCCGAGTATATTTTTAAAGATAATACTTCATTTTTTATTTAACTCTTATCAACACAATAGAGATCATATGGCGACTTTCTGACTGGTGAAAAAAGATCTCCACCATAGTAAACCACAGAGCTCCGTAATCTAACTTGATAGCTTCCTCAAATGAAAGGATCACAAGTCTCTAGCAGGATTCGAACCCACCGTCTTATAAACACACTGAAGACGTACTATAAAAAACATTAATTCATATCAGACTAAATATCTATGTCAATAATATATAATATCTCGTTTATAAAGTGCAAAACTTCTCATCATAACATTTCCCAGGAATATAGTGGTTAATAAATAATAAGAAAGACAGTATACGTTTTCTGTAGTTTTATTTCTAAATCAGATCTAGATCTGGGCATTTATATTAAGCACATCAGACTAGTAAAAAGCACAAAAATAAAACTTTTCAATATAGATTAAAAGGGGGGAGGGGGGAAAAAGGCAACTTACAAAACAATTATCAAATAGATTCGGAATATTCCAATTAATCTACATAATTAAAACTTCTCTTTACAAATAACACACATTGTTATATAATAAATTAAAACACTCTAGTACAAAAACTTTCAGCTGCTTATAGAACTTATTTCTAAGAAAGATAACTTTAATCTGGATGTCTTCAGTCGGATCACAGTTATTGCCCTTTATTTACCAAACCTAATGCATTTTCTGTCGGTGCCCTTGAGCCAGCGTTTATGCTTATGAACAGGAAAATATGACGTATATTTTAGCAAATAACAGACAGTTATATAATTATGTTTTTCCTTCTTAAAACTTGTTACCTTGCAATTTCAAATTTTCACATAAATAACACTAAAACTATAGTAATTCAGATAATGTATATTTGTGTTTCAGGAAAATATATATTATTACTTCTAAACCATTCAATAAGTACTAATTAGTGTAAAACAAAGAGATTCATTATCTTTGTTTCTCAAAGAGACCACCTGTATTCTTGTGATGAAATGGTAAATTATTAATCAAACAGGTATAGAGGGGTATGGACATGATAAAGATGAGATTTGACAGCTTGGCAGCTTACAAGTTACAAAACCTCTAAACATTTAGACCCACCCTGCTGCTGAGTTATTTGTCTATTACGATAACAAACAAAAATGTACAATGAAACATTTGGAAGACAATTTTAACAACAAAAATATCACGCCAGCATTTAAATAGTAGGCAGCACACAGGTAAAAATCTATTAACAAAATAACTGTATGAGGGGAAAAAAGCAATAATGTGCTTTAACTAAATAACAAACAAATATTCTATAATCCTCGCGTTGTTTAAATAATCTCTACTCCACTAAAGTTCTCTAAAATACAAATACAACAAAATCAACTTTTGGCAGTTAACATATTTCTAATACTTATGCAGTTTTGATTTCTTCAAGCAAAAAAATATGTATCTGCTATAAACCGGATACATTTGCTTATTAATTTCATAAATGAAATATGCCACAACTGTAATGAAACAAAATATTGAAGTTATATTAAGTTAAATATTTTTGTTTCCATTTGAGTCAAACATGTTTTGTATTTTGTGTCAGCTGTTTGTTTGTACACGAAGTAATCTAAATCAACGTACATATCAAATATTAAAATTTCCAATATTTCTGAAAATTTAACATGATAAATTTTCATTTCATTTGTAATATATGGAACTTTACATGTCTTTATTTTCGTCGTCCTTATTTTAACACATTTTGGAGGTCAACTTTATATCTATTCTTGTAGCAAAAATATAACTAACTACAAACATTGAAACTAGCTACAGAAAAAAACAATAACTGATAATAATGAGCCATGTCACGACAAAACTAAAATAACGGGTTTGCAACCAGCATGGATCCAGACCAGCCTGCGCATCCGAGCTGTCTGATCAGGATCCATGCTGTTCCCTATCAGTTTCTTTACTTGTTATAGGGTTGGTAAGCGAACAGCATGGATCCTGATCAGACTGCGCGGATGCCCAGGCTGGTCTGGATCCATGCTGGTCGCAAACGCACTATGTTGGTTTTGTCGTGACGTGGCTCATATTTTATTGCACTTTAAAAGTTGAACTGATATGCCATATAAAACTAATGCATATAACATGTGAAATATCTTCAAACTCCCTCTTTACTATTCAACACAGCAAACAAAAGATCCTGGAAATATCTAAATTATTCATTATACTCTAAAATTAGCTGCAAAATTTCTCATATAAACACAGAGAAAACAAACCTAGACAGTCTCTAACAGTGAAACACTGCAGACATAACAGAGACATTAAATAACACTTTTACAGCAATGTTTTTAAATGTGATTGCATAATGATCAAATAATCCAAACATTACATTAAAGTTAAATGACCCCCGGAACAACATATTCACATAGGTGAATTTGTAGTCATTTAAACCACATGTAAAATTTGAATTCATTTAGAATAATTTTCAAAAATATCTTTTCTTTTTGTTTTCTAAAGTTACTTTGATCAAATTTTTTGAAAGACCAAAAGTAGTTAAATGCTTTCATTTAAGTGTATGTTGATTTATATTATAAAGAACATGTGAAATACATGCATCAAATTAATGAGGATCCAAAGTTTGCTGTGTACATTATGTAATCTCTTCCAAAAGTCACATACAAGAAGTAATAGAAAAACTTGAATTATACATCATTTTTCATCACAGGTTTTTTTTACTGTAACAACAAGCAGTATACATGTTTATGAAATACAACTAATTTGAAAAATGTAAAAATTTCTATAAGAAGTGTCCGGTCGCTGTCCTTCTGATATCTAAGTTAAGCTTATACATTTCTAGTTATTGTATAAAGGCAAAGTAACATTTTCTTGCTGAGTTATATCATAAAAGACAAATTTTAAAAAAGTAAAGGCAATTGTTCTAAGCAATAGTACAATATTAACAAAATGATATTCATCTTCAACATTATAACACAGTTCACACAAACAAGTAGTTCCTACTTTCATAATAATAAATATTTTAACCTAGTGCAAACAGCCCTGCTGTACATATAGTAATAAAAGAACAACTTGATAAATTGAAAAAAACACCTATCTAACTATCTAAATATGTACAGAATTCTGTAAAAACTACTTTAAATATTCATGAATTTGAGATAATATATTAAATGGCAAGCATTGATGTAGCAAGCACTAAAATATTTTTTGTGTGTAAAATATGAAATTTTACAAAAATCATTAAGATGTAAAAACATTAATAAACAGGGAATTTACTTATTTCTTTTTAAATTCCAAGCATAATTAGTATGATCAAATTTGTAAAAATTATGTACAATATACTTTACAAAAACTTTAGTCTAAGAAAATAAACTTAGTTAATAATATACTTTAATAACACATCTGTAACTTCTACAAATAATATCCAAATTCAAAAACTTAATTTCTTGACAAAAAATAAAAATAAACTTCACATTCATTTCCTTATGTTAACATTTTCTTATATTAATGTAAAATTGCACTCAAAATGGCAGTTTATGTTATGGATAATGTTGTTTATATCTGTATCACAAGTATACATCTTAAAATTTTGTTTTACACAATAAACAAACCATAAATGAGTCATGCTAAATTGCATATAAGATGTGTGAAATGGATTAAATTTATTGCTCTGAATACATGTATCTGCCAATTTGCATTATATAGATGGTAAAATACTGCTAGTGAATTTAAGAGAACATAGTTCTTCTTCTTTATATATATTACAATCAATTTTACCAAACAGATAATTTTAGCATTAAAAAAAATCAAGTGCATCCAAGCAATACCTACTTTAATTCTTGAATCAAATGTACTTCCTATACTGGTTATATTTTTAAAACTCTGTTACAAGTCATAGTAGATTCATATAACAACACAAAGAAAATGCAGATAGAGAGAGATTCTCGAAATATGAAAGACGTATTAACATTATCACAGTGACATCTCAGTCAACTGGATATTATATACAAATTTAAAATTTCTTGCAATCAATCAATGCATATTTTGTCAAAAAAAATTATTTTTTCCATTTTTCGTTGGAGCAAAACATGAAGGTTCATAAGCACATTGATAAATATCAATGGAAAAAATTACTTATCCATCAAAAAATACTTTATAACTCGAAAGGTAATAAAATTGTATAAAGTACTTTTCTTCTAATGGAAATTGGCTGAAATAACAATTATATATATATAAAAATTTGCCATCACTTAATGTGGCACAGTTGATAAAATAAGAACAATAAAAGATTTAGCTATAGCTTTATCTTTCTCAGTTCATAAAATCGAAAATATTTCAACATATACATTGGGTTTGTTTATTTAATATGTGAAAGTCATACCTAAAATACAGCAAGTTCTGCTTTTAATATAAAAAGCATTGAAGTTTGCATATTATTTTTTCAGATATAATGTATGACTGTAGCTTAATTTTAGGTGACAATTTCTATTTTATCATATAAAAATCCATTATCAAAGTCTCTGGTACATTAAATCGGGATTTACTCTAGTGACAATAAATTACAATAAACAGGTATATTATCTCTGTCAATATTTTCAGGTGAAACAGTTAGATTTTATAACATTCATTAAACAATATGAGAGTTAATATAACACTGTCATAATCTGTATTTTAAGTTCTTTGAGTTATGACTATTGTTGAATAGAACCATCAATACGGTCAATTGGACATCACATGGATCTGACTATTTTGTTTATTTCATATATTCTATCTACTAAAAATGACCTAGAGATAACTTGACTATCTAATTCCGTCCGCATTCAGGACAAAGGATGTCTCCTTCATTGACAAGAAAACCACGGCCAACCATAGAAGATTCACACTTGTAGCAGACGAAACAGTCGCTATGCCAATGACGCTCTTCAAAGGAGATAAATTTAGTGCCTCCAAAGCCTGAAATGTAAAAAAAAAATACAACTGATTAAAATAAAGGTTTATTTTATTTCACACAATAGGATTCATAAATCAATTTTCATATTTACAGCAGTTTAAGAAACCAAAGATGCCGATGGACAGCAGTGTTTCGGGCACAGAATGGGTACCTGTTTAAAGTAAAAGATATTCCAAAAGTAAGCTGAATGGCTCTATAAACTAGATAAGTTTAGCATTCTGTGTTCAACTGTATACAATGTGAGTGGGAGGATATTTTTACAGCCAACAATTTATCCAATACAGTTGGTGGGATTCCAACCTATAATGAAGTCTGTGTGAAGAGTTTCAAAGTCATCAGCGCAACTCATTGAACAATTATAGCTGGTATCACATGGTGCGGACACAAAATGTTGCAAATTTTCACAAAATGGCTATAGGTAAAACTATAAAATTTCATTAACAGCCGTTCAGGTGCATTGTTAAGTTGAGATTATCTCTATTATAATCATCTGCTGAACATGGTAAATGCATTATCTAACAAATTTACTGCTCAACAAGCAAGACACACTGTTACCTTTATCACAGGTAGTTTTTTTTTCATAAAAATTAATACATGCAAAAATATAAAGACATTCTGTTGCACCAAAATGAATTGATTGATCTTGCATATAGGCACAGCTGTAAAACAATAGACAGAACAATGGCTGATACCATTTCTAGGAAACTGTTTGTTGTATGTAGATCAAACAAGCAATGATGTAAAGTACAATAAAGATATTAACATGAACATTTGTTTTATCACAAGTTACATTATTCACTATTACCAGCAAATTCTTGGAAAGTTATATTGATCTCTTTTTTTTATATTTTACATAATGCTTCAAACACCAATAACATTGATCTGATTTTGCAGAAATGTGAGTTTTCCAGTCATTTACTAATAAGCACAAACTTAGAAAGTGTTTCTGAATCAGGAGCAACCTATAGTTTCTACAAGAACCAGCCATTCTTATCAATAGCATCAGTGATGGAGAATGAATTTAATATGTATGCCATATATGTACATGTATATTGCCTTTAATAATAGAAAATGTGCAGTTCTTAAACTTTTAAGCTAACTGAATAGAAGCTTGGTTAAAGCCAGGTTACAGAACTGGTGAAAAAGACCAAACGCATAAAGTGTTTTAGTTAATTAGACTAATTGATTAGATTTGAGCCTGTAATCAATGTCCATGTTACATGCCTATTGTGACCAGGCTTGAACAACTAAGTTATAAATCAGGTTCAAACACTTTGACCATGTTTGAGTGCCTAAGCAGTATTCAAGTAAAGGGCACTTTGAATAAACATTGTAATGGAACCAACAAATATCCTAACAACTGTGTTTAATTGACTAAGTTTGAGCACTCTTTACTTGTATTTGTGTTCTTTTTCTATTGACATTTTCCAACAGATTATTAGTCATATATCATAGTCATGTTCTGAAGATGTGTAATTATTTCATCTGTCTACAAAACATTTAGTTCTAGCTGTTTTGTTACTGGAAACACTTCATCTTGTCAAGTACACTGCAAACGCAAATATGTTCTCAAATATCACATCAGAATTAAGATGTTTTTACCAAAACATTGCAAGTTAATCATAGGAAATTATATGAGTTTTTCATCAATTATTTCAGAGGGACATAATGTTGTTTTCACTTTGTTGGATATCATGCTGCTTTCATACAGTCATAACAATCAGTGTGAGCAAAAAACTGCAACAACATTGCGTTGTTAACAACAGGTATCCAGATTTATTTTTCATGTCTTGAAGGTAACCAAGTCTATACATTCAACCTTCACATAGTGTAATGTGTAAGAAAATCTGGAATGGGGAGATCCCTTGGAAGCAATGAAAATAACAAAATCATATGAAAATTACAGACCCAGTTTGATTGTGTCTGTTCTTCAAAGATAATATAAATGTGCAACATCTCTTAGACTCTAGCGCCCCCCTACACTGGCTTGAGTGGTATACAATATTCAAAGCTCAATGTGCTGGAATCTCATGTTTATGTTTAAATATTGAGTCCAGGAGCCTGGACAGTAGCTTGCATTTCAACTTATGCCCATGATTAGGATCATTCAAAACAGGCTTGCATCATTTTCAATTTTTGTAGTGTTGAGTGAAGTTTTCTCTGTCTCATGATTATTGTAAGTCAATTATTTTTTCCACAGGCTTTGCTTTAAACTTGTGCCTTGGACCTGCCTATTTTATCTGTTGTTATCAGAGACTTGAAAACCCAAGAATGTGTTGGTTTTTTTATTTCAAATTCTTAATAATACTTTACTAAAATATTGCAGACTGGAAGCAATGGGTCCATCATTATTGCCTCTAGATATCAAAGAATTATCTTATGTTTCATTACAAAAGACGAAAAGAGCATAATTGGCAGGCACCAATTTGTTACATAAACAATGCAATTGCTTGAAAAAACATCAGAATGTCTTAGAACAATTATCTCCAAAGTAAACAGACATATGTCTCTGTGATATATCATACACGTATGCCACTTTGATACAGCATACGTAAGCTGAAGGTGACTATTGAAGGATATTTGTATCATTGTTCACATTGTGTACCTACTTTGCCATCATCATAGTGCTTTCACATATACCTGTAGGTATAGCAATTAGTACAGCAGGTATTAAATATAGGTATCGGTTAAATCTTTTTATCGTGTAGATATCAAATCTAGGTATGTGGTACTTCTATAAATATGTTTACAATAGTTTACTAGTGCAGTGCTATAATTAACTAAAGTCATATATAATTTGATAACTATTTTCATGAGGCAGCAATTTGCTTAGCCAAAAATAATGGTGAACCTCTATAGAAATATAAAAAAAGCTTTTGAATTTAAAAAGACTGTGAAGACAGTATGATCTTATTAAGTATTCTACAAATTTATTCCTTTTTACAAGGCAACATCTGTTGTTATCTGTCTCCTAAGCAAGACTGGCACATTTAACACCCATGACATTGGTCATTTTTATGGAAAACAAAACCACATCTGGAGTTTGTTTACTCCTATTTTGCAAAGAACCTAATTTCACAAAATTTGAAATATTCTTTTAGATTTTCATTTTTCATATTCAATGAGTTCCATGCAGATTTATTCCTACGATTAGTATTATGAAATCAATGTTACTTCTTGGGTAATTGTGTAAGTTCTACTGTACAGTGTAACCTCTGTAAAAAGAGGCCCTTTGTAAAGCAATAACCTTTGACCGCCTCCGTGGTCGAGGGGTTAGAGTCAATGACTTCTAATCCAGTTATCTCTCTGGCGTGGGTTCGATCCCCGGGAGATGCTTTGGTAGTTTAGCGCGGAGGAAGGTAGTCTAGTACTGGTGTTACTCTCTATGAACGATGGTTAGGAAACTACCCGCCTATATGACTGAAAAGGTGTAGAGTGGTTGGACCAATGCTCGGCGCATACCAATGCTCGGCGTAAAAAATATTTTTTTAGAATATCTGAAAATGTCTCGAGTTATCTCCGATTTAGGTCACTGGTGCTTTTATTTACATCTTTCACCATTTTATCCTGGTGTGGTTCACTGCTGGTAAAGTCACGTGACAATGCTAATAGCAGACGAACAACCGTATGTAATCCCCAACATATAAATTATTAAAATCTTTTAACACTAGAGTTCTGGGGCTGTAAAATTTAAACTAAAAGTTGGGTACTTGTAAATGTATGAACCTAATTTGGTTGTTACAATTTATTCAATATGTTTTCTTCATAAGATAAAAAAGAGATTTTATTCGAAAAACAATCCTGCATCATGTAGTATTGTACGCCGAGCTATGGTACAATTTCACGCAAACCACTCTTGTTTATCCGGACTATCTATAGCTCCAGCCATGCACATCATTATGTGATTAGCGAATTTTACACAATGGCTATTTAAAACAATATCATCGGTCTTGAAAATGGACATATGACATTGAGGTTTGTTGAAGTTGATTTGAATTTGCCATATCAAATAAAGTATTTTTACGCCGAGCGTTGGTCCACCCACTCTAATATGAATCAAACAAACAAACAAACTTAATAACAACAGTGCCAGTTCTTTCCAAAGTAAGATTTCCTAATGAATCTAATTTCTCTAAAGCAACACCTCAAAGCAACATCTAAAATCTTTGTTACCCAAATGATTATTTAAGCCCTACCACCAGTAAAAACAGACTGCACCATATAGTACAGCTACTCAAGTAATCAGTATTTTGATACAGTATTCATTGGAACAACACACAGATTTTGGACAAGTACATTATATAATAATTCTAGAAATGTAAGCATTAATACATTATTACATAATAGCTGACTGGTTCACATTATTCATCAGATACCTGCACAGATTCATGAAGTTAATCATTAACTGTATGTTATTTCAATTATATAGAAATAATCATTCCCTTCCAACACTTATTCTATTATAGACTATATAACTGTAAGTGTTAAAACTCGAATCCTTAAAACTCTATTTACTAGCTTGCTCAAGCTAGGTAAAGAAAAACAGGAAGGAAGCCAGAAAACAGGTCTGGCCTAGAATTGTTTCATTTTACTTGTTTTCAAGGATAAAGAAATTTGTAGAAGCTTTTGTTTTGTAAGAGAAGCCTTTTTAAATATTTCAGGTAACAATCTATTTATCTCTTCAAGGGCAAACAAAGATTACAATATAAGAGGGATAGAAATTACATTATAATGTAATAGATACATTTCTCTCATAACAATAAATTTAAGCTGGGAGCAGAGAAAGTGAAATAATCAATTATTCAAATGCATTTATAATATACTCTAGATACATGCCAACTTGACCATAGGGTATGTTTAATCACCTGAACTGAATAATTAGGGAAAGTCAAAGGCTTAACAATCAAGGAAGGAAAATTGCCTGAATAAACAGGGGAAGGCAAAATGTAGGATTAATAGGGAAGGCAAAATGCCTGATCAAAAGGAGCAGGAAAAATGCCTCAATCAGAATGTACAGAAAATTGGCAGATTAATAAGGGAAGTCAAAACACATGAGTAACAAGAACCATGGCAATGCCATGAAACCAGGTTTTCAATTATCACCATTATAGATAAATATGTTGTATTTGAAATACAAATACAAGCAACAAACAATGTAATTTATAATGTGCAATGTAAAACATGAATAATGTAGGAGGAATTGCCACAGAAGAAGTGTTCACTATACATGTATATTCTGTATAAGAAAAAAAAACAAAGGGCCATAATTAGGTAAAAAATTATCTAATCACAAAGCCTGGACAATATGTGCCAGGGCACTTGATAACAAAGCTTCTAAGAAAGTTTGGTCAAAATCCGTTGAGAAATGTAGGAGGAGTTCAGCACAGAAGAAATTGTTCACTATATATTCAATATAAGGAAAAAAAACAAAGGGCCATAATTAGGTCAAATATTATCCAATCACAAAACCCCGACAATTTGCGCCAGGGCACTTGATGACAAAGCTTCTGTGAAAGTTTGGTCAAAATCTGTTGAGAAATGTAGGTGGAGTTCAGCACAGAAGAAATTGTTCACTATATATTCTATACAAGAGGCCCTGAGGTCGCTCACCTGTATATAGGCCCCCCGAGCGGAGCCAGTTTAAACACCAGGGCTTTTATTTGAACAAACTTGGAAGACACCCATAAGAAGATGTTTCATGATGTTAAGTTTTTACTACACACATATAATGAAAAACAATGATCTGCCCCTCCCCGCCAGGGCCAATTTTAACCCAAGGGCTTTTATTTGAACAAACATGGTAGACACCCATAAGAAGATGTTTCATGATAAACATCTAAGCTGTAGCGCTCATTGGGATTTTTAAAAGAAACTCATTGGGATTTTTAAAAGAAGATTTTTTATGTTTTTACTATACACATATAGTTAAAAACAATGACACTCCCGGGGCGGGGCCAGTTTTGACCCCAGGGCTTTTGTTTGAACAAACTTTGTAGACACTTACTAGAACATGTTTCATGCTTAATATCTTAACTCTAGCTATTTGGTTTTTTTTTCAAAGAAGACTTTTAAGTTTTTGCTATACACATATAAGGAAAATCAATGACCCCCGAGACAGGGCCAATTTTGACCCCAAAGCTTTTATCTGAACAAACTTTGTAGACACTCACTAGAAGATGTTTCATGCTTAATATCTAAACTCTAGCTATTTAGGTTTTTTCAAAGAAGATTTTTTAAGTTTTTGCTATACACATATAAGGAAAATCAATGACCCCCAGGGCGGGGTTAATTTTGACCCCAGGGCTTTTATTTGAACAAACTTGGTAGACACCCATTAGAACAAGTTTCATGCTAAATATCTTAGCTCTTGCTCTTTGAGTTCTTTAAAAGAAGATTTTTCAAGTTTTTACAATATGCATATAGGGAAAATCAATGACCCCCTGGGGCTGGGCAAATTTTGACCCCAGGGCTTTTATTTGAACAAATTTGATAGACACTCATTAGAAGATGTTTCATGCTGAATATCTTAGCTCTAGCTCTTCTGGTTCTTTAAAAGAAGATTTTTAAAGTATTTACTATATGCATATAGGGAAAATCAATGACCCCCTGGGGCGGGGCCAATTTTGACCCCAGGGCTTTTATTTGAACAAACTTGGTAGACACTCATAAGAAGATGTTTCATGCTAAATATCTTAGCTCTAGCTCTTTTGGTTCTTTAAAAGAAGATCTTTTAAGTTTTTTCTATATGCATATAGGGAAAATCAATGACCCCCTGGGGCGGGGCCAATTTTGACCCTAGGGCTTCTATTTGAACAAACTTTGTAGACACTCACTAGAAGATGTTTCATGCCAAATATCTAAGCTCTAGCTCTTTGGGTTTTTTAAAAGAAGATATTTTAAGATTTTTCTTTCGGTTGCCATGGCAACCAGAGTTCTGCATGGAATTAAATTCTTTGAACAATTTTTAAAGGTGACCACCAAAGGTACATTCCTGTGAAGTTTGGATGAAATTGGCTTAGTGGTTTATGAGGAGATGTCATTTAAAGTAAAAGTTTACGGACGAACGACAGACGGACGGATGGACGGACGACGGACGAAAAGCGATCACAAAAGCTCACCCTGTCACTTTGTGACAGGTGAGCTTATAAGGAAAAAAGACAAAGGGCCATAATTAGGTCAAATATTATCCAATCGCAAAACCCCGACAAAATGCCTCAGGGCACTTGATGACTTAGCTTTTGTGAAAGTTTGGTCAAAATCTGTTGAGAAATGTAGGAGGAGTTGCGCACAGAAGAAATTGTTCACTATATATTCTATATAAGGAAAAAAACAAAGGGCCATAATTAGGTCAAATATTACCCAACTGCAAAACCCCGACAATATGCCCAGGGCACTTGATGACAAAGCTTCTGTGAAAGTTTGGTCAAAATCTGTTGAGAAATGTAGAAGGAGTTGCGCACAGAAGAAATTGTTTACGCCCGCCCGCCGACATACCTCAATCTAATAACCAGTTTTTTCCTTCGGAAAACCTGGTTAATAAGGAAAAGCAAACAGCCTAAATAGTGAGGGACCACAATTGGCTGATTTATAAAATCAAAGAGGTTGAAGACACAGGGGAAGCCAATTACCTGACTACCAATGGGAAGCAAAATCATGGCTGAATATTTATAAGGAGAGGTTCATAGCTTACCAGTAATTGCTTTTGAACATCTGCAACATTTCTTAGCAAACAGTTCTCCATAGCAATCAGCACAGTATGGTTTTTCATCTTTAGATGTAAATTTCTCCTTAGCCAACTCCTTCTCACACTGAGTGCAAGTAAAACACTCCCTATGCCATGGCATATTCTTGTAAGCCACGCCTCCTTTGTTAATTACCTGAAGTATGCAAAGTATGTTAAATATCTTAAAAACCCTTCTGCAAACAAATGGAAATTTTTTTATAAAATAAATAACATGAAAGAAATTTAACATCACATAGATCATGTGGTATTAGACTTGACATTATACAGACTAACAAAAACAATATTCCCCAGTAAAACAGAAGGCTTACAATGTATCCTTTTCTAGGAAGCCTTTTGTTCTTGTTTTCATCATTATTATATTGAATATTTATGGTCAATATAACTAAGAAATAAATCCAGCAGTAAATTTAGCATGGCAATAAACTGACAGGTTTTATCATCACAGTTCCATCATGGCTCACATTCTTTCCTGGATATATATAAAGAATTAACCTGGGAGTGAATTATCTTGTAATTAGAGCACGACAATAAGTCATGTTGACATGCCATTATGACGTCAGGTATGACATCAATCGATCAAATTATCAGCAGTTAAACATCTCTTCCTTAATGTAGTTAATCATAAATCATTTTCTTTACAAGCTGCTTTTTTTATTTTAATGTTTCTAGATAAAAAATTAGAAGAGCAAAAGAACTTTTTTCATAATTTTTCATAATTTCACTTTATAAAGACTAAATTGAGCAATATTCTACTGTTATCTTTGTTTATTTGGTTCTTTGTTTGTTTGGTTGACTTAACACAATTTTAGTCATATCCAGTTGGCCGGTTCACCTAACCAGCTTTCCCGGATAACTAACCAGTAATCACAGAGTGGCTTACTTCTAATCTCCAATGACATCTGAAGAGCAGTGAGAGACAAAATTTCATCTCCCCAGAGGATTGAAACAGCGACACCAAGATTACAAATCCTATGCTCAATGCTCTTCCTACTGAGCAAAGTGAGTGGACTTAATACATTAATAAATTCAAAATTCAAGCCATGTCCTGAATATGAACTGCTGTAAGTACAGATTAAAATAAACTTCATCATTCATTATCACATATAGACGAGTTTTTCAGGTGTTATTTACTAACCCCACTACATTTAGTACACTTCTGCGCGAAATCTCTCTCATAGCATGGAACGCAGACAACTTGTTCATCACGAGGGATGAAACTCTTGTTACTGATTGGCTCCTTGCACACCATGCACGTGAAACATTCCTCATGCCATTGCTTGCCCTTGTACTCAAACTTCTTCATTCCTGGTATAAATAATATACTTGAAACATAATAACAATTATACAAACAAACCACTGTTAAACATAACCTTCTTAAATAAACTTCATAATAGCGGGAAAACTTGTCACTATTACAGTATTATTATTGCAAATTGGAACAAAAAATTTTAATTTATCTTTTTAGAGACACTTTCTGTCTGGCAGGAAAAAAGTGTTTGTTTTTTCTTTTCTTTCCCTAATACTGTTCTATATAAAGAGGTAAAAATATTCCTAATAAACTTGAAACTATAATATTATAGAAGGAATTAATTAACAATATTAGGCCAATTAGGTAGGAATATCTTGTTATATTATGTACCACTTCAGTATACAAATGAACATTTCTGTAAAAGTTTGGATTGTGATTAATATGGACAAGACATTCATGATGCTGTAGTGATTACTATGTATATACCTGAGGGAGACTTTAATGATTATAGAAGACTTGCTGCTATAATACCTGAGGGAGACTTTAATGATTATAGAAGACTTGCTGCTATAATACCTGAGGGAGACTTTAATGATTATAGAAGACTTGCTGCTATAATACCTGAGGGAGACTTTAATGATTATAGAAGACTTGCTGCTATAATACCTGAGGGAGACTTTAATGATTATAGAAGACTTGCTGCTATAATACCTGAGGGAGACTTTAATGATTATAGAAGACTTGCTGCTATAATACCTGAGGGAGACTTTAATGATTATAGAAGACTTGCTGCTATAATACCTGAGGGAGGCTTTAAATATAATAGAGGATTTGCAGCTATATACCTTCTTAATGAAGCTAATTAGGTAACCCAGCTGAATACAAAGAGTGAGGTCCAGCAAAATTTGCATAAATACTTAGTAAATAGATAAATTATTCTAAGAAAACTACACAATTATTCACATGATATTATGATTTTACATAGACTTGAATCATTTATGATGGTACTATTTCTATATTTGTATCGTATAGGCCAATCCATCTCCGAAATTAAAAATAGTTTGGGTTTTACCAGCTAATCCAGGGGTTACAAACTTTAACAGTTACAGTTTCGAAAATTAGCACTAGCCCAACAGGTTGAATAATCAATTGTGAACGGTATTGCTCTGTGAAGCTATTACAGTAAAAGTTTGTTTGTACCTGAAAATTAGCTTGGTAAAAAAACCCACATCTATTATACATGTATGATGTATAACTATTGTAGTGCATGGTTTTGTCTATTTATCATTTCGTTACACAATTACTCAATTGGTTAAAGTTATAAGCCAGAATCTTTGAAGTTCCAATCCCAAAGTAGTATAACATTATATGAGAAATAAAAACATCTTAATATTAATGCTATATATGTATGTTCATCAGTCACTATACCTCCTTTAAATGGTTGTGTGCAGCCATCACATCTTGCAGCAAAGTTGTTGTCATGACAATCAGCACAGAAAATCTTGTCATTCTTCGGAGCAAATGGTTGATCAACTAATGTCTTCTGACACTCAACACATTTGAAGCAGAACTCGTGCCAATGGTGATCCTTGTATGACAAATCCTGCAAATATACAATTATCAAAACTTAAAATGCATAGTATTATACTTTCAAAACTAAACACAGCTTCAGTTCCTGCTAAAGGAGGACATGGGAGATGTTGCCTGATGAACAGAACTCAATAAAACAAAGTGAAATGTTCACTTAATTAAATTTGTTTTCAATAAAGGTGTCAAAGATTTTCCCCATTTTATACAAACTGTGTTTCCACTGGAGCTGGAAGCAGATTGTTGAAATGATTATAAAGTTGGCTAAGCGCTTACAGCTGGAATGAGAAGAATAAAGCATTTACTAAATGAAGCCTTTTAATTTTACAGGGACTAGGTTCTTTAAATGTTGCTTTTCATTTTGTGCTATTACTTCTTTCATAAGTATCTACAAGAACTAAATATACATAAAGGTAAACTAGAAAAGTAATATGTTAAACCAACTTTGTGAGTATTTCCAGGAGAGGAAATAAATCCAATCTTATGGCAACACAAATATAAAAGGAAAGAACCATTCAACACTAAAATACATTTCAGACATGGCATAATTTACAATATGGTAACAAAAATGGATTATTGACGCTCCTTTTAGCTAATACATAGTGTCAAATATATCTTAGACTATTGTAGACTGCATTAAAAAACTAGTAGTAATGTTCTGGGTATTTTACATGACAAAACAGTCATGTTTTATAGTATGTCTCTGAAAAAAATGAAAACTTTATCAGAGTGAAACATGACAGAGAATAGCAAATTTCATTAATTACATAAAAAGTTCATATCGATTACTCGCTGAATCATACCATTAATAGTCTGATATGTCTATATATAGTAGCATTTTTGTATCTCAAGTTGGGAAATGGGAGATGAAATACACTATAATCATTATAAACTCTGGAGCTGCTCCAAATATATTGATGGAATAGCGATGATTTAGGATCAATGTTATAAGAAGCTTGTTTCATCTTACACTCTCCAAGTAATAAATTCATCTTCACATCAAATGTTTTCTGCAATAAACAGAATATAGGATAGAACTTATTCTACTGTACCTAACCATCCTTTTTTATAGCTTAACACATTTGCTCATCTGATCATTATAACATCAAATATTTACAACAATAAATCAGAACACAGGAGAGAAAATAGTTTAATGAAGTTCATCATACAGATCATTTTAACAAATCTGACATTATATGCTCAAACAAATTAATATCATCTAACATATGATCATAATAGTTTTTTTAAATGTTAACAATTGTATTTCACCATGGAACTCTTTTTCAGTCAAATACTAGCAAGCTACTTAGGCTGTAGCTGAATCCCTGGTAATGTATTTGTGTCCATTTTTGCGACGGACCCGCCCTCAGGCGCGTTCAGAGCTAAGTCATCTACACATGGGATTTCGTTGGCTACACTCGCGCAATGTGTCCTAAACCGATTAACAGCCCAAGAAATAGTACATGAATTTGATCCTTCAAAACTCCCAAACTTTGTCTGGATATCTTAATGTCTTCCATATTCAGCCTTTTCAATTTCAAATTAAGTTATCCAAGTTAAAATATGAACGTATATTCTTGATAAAAACGTTGTAGTCCCGTAGTATTATTGCGCAATATTCAAATTACTGCTGAAACGATTTACCGCTGTCGAAAAAGTAGGACAGCAAATTAAACTACAATAAAGGTGTAACCTCTGAGTTCCAAGACATTATTAGTAGGAAATAAATATTTCTACATATACAAAACATTATTATTAACAATTCAAAAGTTTTTCGTGACTCTAGGATAACTCGCGCATTAATAAAAGAAGAACTTTTTTCGTGACTCATACCGCGGGTTTAGCTGAATACTCAGCAGTTATTAATATATTAATTAGATTCAGTACAATAGTTACTATAAATATCTATTTTTGAAAATTCATGTAAGAAGAGAGTTTTTTTTCAACACTTTACCGCCATGTAGTCTTTCGTAGTAAGGAAGTTATAATATCAGTTCTACTTCCGATTCTTGTGGTTTGTTTACATATTTTTCTAGGTCATGATATGAATTAACCTTCGCTATTCTAAAAATAGATTCTGCTTCACCTGTTCTGATTTTTGGACAGGCGATTAGGGAGTACACATTATACATTAATAAACCAGCGGATAACATGCAATACTTTTAGAAATTCTATACAATTTTAAGAAGCAAACAAGTTGAAAATGGAATTTAGTGTGAAATTGAAAAGGACAACTAAACACTGTAGTGCTTAAGTGACAGTTAAATTAAAATAAAAAGGATGTGCTCTGGCCCCTACATCTTTACCTTGTAAATAAAAAAAATCTAAACAATACACTATTAATTGCTGATGATTTTAACCATTTTTTTAATGAGACATTATCCAAGAGAAATAAAAATACAAATGACTTATATTTTATTGTCTATATGCCCACTATGATATAACACGAAGCAATTCTAAATAGCATTTCAAATGTATAATGTATTATGTTTGAAGTTTATTTGCCTGGATTTATTTTAGAAATATTTCGTTGACAGTTTTTTTTCTATTTACATATCATTTCTTAGAATAAATCGATAAGGACACTGATTTACAAGTTTGACCAGAGTTTTTAGGCATGAATTTCATTCTGTATTTAAGTGCTTGAAAGAAGAAAATCTGAATTATATCAGTTTGGGACACAAAATATATTGCTCTACAAATCTCGAACTTGTATGGAACAAATTTTCTCTGTTATATATTTTGTGTTTTGTTTAAAAGAAGCCTTAATGTCTCTCCGGTTGCATGTCCGTCGCATTCAGTGCTGCAGCACTTTGATAATTCATGGAACTATACAAATTTAGCTACCAACAGTATAGAGCTTGGTCAGACTTGATGAATATAGCAAAGACTTATATTCCCACTTTAATGTCGTTAACCAATGTTCTAGGATTCTGTACTAGTAAATACTTCTTGTACCTTCCATTATGTACCAACTTTTCCACATAACATTAAATCTAAGGTGGTATACATTGTAATATGTCTTTGACTCTTTGATCATTGAATTAAGTGTTTACCAGCTGATAGCACCATTAAAAGTTATTATACCTAACAAGCTAGAGTAACTAAAAACAACATGTTAAATTTTTGAACAGAATTTCCCTGCTTCAAATTTTATTTAGGATTTTCCAAAAATCATTAAATTAAGCATCCCATAGAATAAAGTATCATCAAAAATTACAGAAATGCAGCCAGCACACAGGAAAATCATCAAATGGTGCAACAAACACCTTTTTCACAGAAATCATTCCACTTGAAGAAAAAAAAATCTTTAGAATCATTCTACTTGAAAAACAATCCTCTCAAAGTATAAATCTATAAACTATTGTATTAAATTATTTTAACTTGTACAATACAAGCAGCCATGTGGGCTTATCAGTTGTTAATGCAGCAAACAGGTGAGAAAATCAATACCAGATAATATGGAATTTTCTACACAGAATTTCAAGAAATCATTCCTGATATTTAAAAAAATACTTATCTGAAGTACTTTCCATAAATTCTGAGAATATTATTGGTGATTATGATAAGACTATACCACCATCCAAGCCAGATTACATATATGTTACCTGCGTGGTTTTATTCTAATACAAACAATGAACAGTTCCAATATATTCAACAGTTCCATACTCATAGATATTGAGGAAAAAGTTAACTTTATATACATGTATATGTTCTACAGATTTACCTATTTGAAAACTGTTCATTTTAAGAGGTAGGTTGTGTAGGTTAGTCTGGCACTATCCTGGAATTGCTAGACTATACATGGGTGCGTATGCTTTGGGCTTTTTTTAAAGGGAAAATGGATTTTGTTTTGTTTGGGGCACTTAGACAACAATAGAATGATATGGATAGACAAGGGGGTATAAAAAATGTGTAAAATTTTGGTTTTGGCTTTTGCCCAAACATATCTGTATTTTCCTTTTATTAAAAATGGAGGGGCTTTTAAAAAAAACAGGAGGGGTTAATAACAGCTGTTTCAAACAATTTAAAATGTAAAAATTTTTTAAAAACATTATGTTTTTACTTTTTTCAATGTTTAAATCTTTAAAGGGAAATTATATTTTATCTATTTGACTGATTTTTTGATTTTTTTGAATCATGTAAAACATGTATCAAACAGGGTGGGCTTTATATTTCTTTTTAAAACTTTATTTGCTATGACAGAAATTAATAATTTCTACTACCTTATTCTTTAGTTTGGTTTAAATGACAATTAAAACTCCAGAGCTTAATTTTTAAATTCATTCAATTCAAAGCTCCTGCACTTCAATGATGAATAACTCCAAAACTAATAGCCGAGCAATTACATTTTAATTACAAAAATCTGGAAACAAAGTTTCTGCAGGAGGGTGGGGAATCAGTTATTACAAAAGATATCATGGGGTAAGCTATGACTCACTCATGAGTTATTTCAACTTTATACACAAGGAAGCCAACCTCAAAGATAAAGCATGACTTTTTGATAGCAGACCTACAACATTAGAAAATATTTAGCAAAGGTTTATGTAAGAATTCTCTCTAAATACAAAATATTTGGCATGTTAATGTTAACAGCTGTCAGAAGATATCTCGTGCTGCAGCTGCACGAGTGTTACATGCTGCACACGGATATCTCTGCCACATTGAGGAATGCTGAATATAATGAATATAATCTACAGAATGCAGTTAGCCTCACCAATTTTCAATTTCTTTTATCAATCATTCTCATTGACACAGAATTGTATTAGCTTTTTTCTATTTGTTCCAGTATTTTAGCTATATATATATATAGCTTCCTTTTGCCAAATCACATGTCAGTTCCTCATTAGATTATAGTATATTTTGTATACTTAATATCCCTTTTCCCAATTTTTGTTTTATAGATCCTCTTTTAGCTATATGCCCAATCACAATTGTCAGTTATCCTCATCAGGAAGTATAGTACGTTTACTTAATATTTGCCTTTACAATCCTTTTTCTCTGAAGCTAGTGTAG